CTGCCTCAACCCTGTAATAGCAGGAGTGTAGCTGGAGTTGAAGGCAGCGAAGTGAAAGTTCACATACACAGAACAGAAAACTGCACATGCAACCTGATGAATTTTTCTTAAGATGAAAGCCTTAAGATGAAATCATGGCTAGGCTTTGCAAACGAAGATTTGAGAAGGGCTCTAGCCATGCTTGTACAAGCGCACGGATGGCTAAAAAGGCCAATGCAAGGTAGACAAGTCCAGTTGCAGAAGGCGCAGCAGAAAGACTCTCCAGGTGATATCGACAAGACACGATTCTTTCTGCATTGTCTTTTCTCCTCAAGAGTGATCCTGCATGTGTTCTCAAAAGCAGCAGCAGCATTATAGATGGTGTGTCTCCAGGCCTCCCGACTGGAAGACAGGGTAGACCAATGGTGGTGATCAATATTGCCAAGGCTGAGGGATTGTTTCAGGCAGTCCTTGTATCTCCTCTCCGGGCCTCCTCTCTTGCGGCAGCCAGTGGCAAGTTCCCCATAGAGCACGATCTTAGGGAGGCGATGGTCCTGCATCCTGGAGACGTGCCCTGCCCAGCGCAGCTGAGTTCTCAGCAGCATGGCCTCAATGCTTGGGACTGCTGCCTGTTCAAGGACAGACGTGTTGGTCACATCCAGTGGATGTTGAGCATTGTGCAGAGGCAGCGCTGATGGAAGCGTTCTAAGAGACGCAAGTGGTGCCGGCAAATGACCCAGGATTCAGATCCATATAAACGAGTAGACAGTACAATGGCTCTGTAAACGCTGATCTTAGTACTTCAGGTGTTTGTTTTGCCACACTCTTTTATGGAGTTTACCGAAAGCTCTGTATGCCTTTGCTAACCTGTTGTCAATTTCTGCATCAATCTGACTGTCTGAGGAGATGATGCTTTCCAGGTAATTAAACTGCTGGACTGATTTGAGCGCTCTTTCACCAGTGGTGATATGGGGATGATGGGAGACTTCCTGAGGTGCAGGCTGATATAAAACTTCTGTCTTCAAGCTGACTTCCAGACCAAAAAGCTCAGCAGCCTCTGCAAAGCAGGATGTTAGACGCTGCAGAGCTACTTCTGTGTGGGTGACGAGGGCGGCATCATCAGCTTAAAGCAGCTCATGGACAAGATGATTTAAGGTCTTAGTGTGGGCCTTCAGTTGCCTTAGGCTGAAAAGGCTCCCATCGGTACGATATCGAATGTAGACACCGTTTTCAAAATCGAGGTCTGCCGTGGCCCTTTGGAGCATCATGCTGAAGAAGATCGTGAATAAAGTTGATGCGAGAACGCAGCCTTGCTTCACACACTGGCTATTGGAAATGGCTCAGAAGGTGCATCACCATTTCTGACTTGACTGCGCTGGTCCTCATGAAGTGAGATGATCATTTTGAGGAACTTGGGAGGACATCCTAAACATTCCAAAATCTGCCACAGACCTTTTCTGCTCACAGTATCGAAAGCCTTGGTGAGATCAACAAAGGTAACATGGAGTCCTTTGTTCTGTTCCCGACACTTCTCTTGCAGTTGTCTGAGAACAAATACCATGTCTGTGGTACCTCTGTTGGCTCGGAAACCACACTGGCTTTCAGGCAGAGGATCTTCTGCTATGGTGGGTATTAATCTGTTCAAAAGAATTCTTGCAAGGATTTTACCAGCAATGGAGAGCAGAGTAATACCTCGGTAATTTGAGCAGTCTGATTAATCTCCTTTCCTCTTGTACAACGTGACAATGACTGCATCACGAAGGTCTGAAGGCAGTTCACCTCGTTCCCAGCAGTGCACCAGAAATTTGTGAAACTTAGCATGGAGTGCTTGGCTGCCATGCTTCCAGATTTCAGGTGGGATTCCATCAACCCCAGCTGCCTTGCCAATTTTCACCTGCTGTATTGCTTTAAGAATTTCTCCCATGGTGGGGGCAGTGTCCAGTTCTGTTTTCACTGGTTGTTGAGAAATGAACTGCATTGCTGAGTCCTGAACTACACGGCTAGTACTGAAGAGAGTCTGGAAGTGTTCAGACCATCGATTCAAAATGGAAACTTTATCTGTGAGAAGTGTTTGGCGACCTGCACTGAGTAGAGGGCTTTGAACCTGGTGTGTAGGACCGTAGGCCTCATAGAATCCCCTGTAATCACCTGTATCTGCGCATAATTGGAGTTTTTGCGCAAGACTGGTCCACCACTTGTTCTGTATGTCACGAAGTTTCTGTTGTAGCTTGCTACCTGTGATTCGAAAGGTTGCTTTTCTTATATGACAAGATGGCTGAGCAAGGTGGGCTTGGTGAGCAGTTCTCTTCTTACTCAACAATTCCTGGATCTCGTGATTGTTTTCATCAAACCAGTCCTTGTTTTTCTTGAAGGAGAACCCTAAGGATTCTTCATAGGACTGCAGAATGCTATTTTTAGTAAATTGCCAAAGCGCTTGCGCTTCGGGAGAGGGATCTGTGGAATGAACTTCGAGCTTGGATTGAAGATTTGCCTGGAAGCAGTCCCTCACTGTAGCTGTTAACTTGAAGTCTCCTTCTAGGAATGCCTCCCTTTTTAGGTTTGAACTTAAGGTGGAGGTTAAGTTTACAGCGCACAAGGCGATGATCTGTTTGGCATTCTGCACTAGGCATCACGCGGGTGTGACAAACATCGCGGATATCTCTCTGTCTGACCAAGATGTAATCAGTGAGGTGCCAGTGCTTGGACCTAGGATGCATCCAGGTTGTCTTCAGACTGTCTTTCTGCTGAAAGATAGTGTTGGTGATGGTAAGCTGCTGCTCAGCACAAAACTCTAGCAGAAGGTGACCATTATCATTGAGTTCCCAACACCATGATTGCCTAGTACTCCTTTCCAGGCTTCAGAGTTCTTTCCTACTCTGGCATTGAAATCACCAAGGATAATGGTCTTATCATCTGCAGGAACCTTTTAGATAAGGCGGTGCAGGTTGTTGTAGAATTTATCTTTTTCAGCAGGGTCAGCTTGGAGAGTTGGGGCATATATACTAAAGAGAACAGCATGTTGCTTGTTGTGTAATGGCAGGCGTAGGGAGATAATATGATCAGAATGACCAGTCGGCAGATTTTCAAGTTTAGAGACAACAGAGTTTTTAATCATGAAGCCAACTCCTGAGAGATGCCTTTCAGATCTGGGTTTACCTGACCAGTAAAGTGTATAACCGGCACCATGTTCTCTAAGGCTGCCTTCCTCATGAAGACGAATTTCACTAAGAGCAGCGATGTCAATGTTGAGTCGTGACAGTTCATGGGCAATTAGAGCAGAGCGGCGCTCAGGACGTCCACTGTTCGCCGTATCGAGCATGGTTCTGATGTTCCAGCATGCGAGTGTTAATTTGAGTACACCTTTGGAGGCAGGTGTATGCCTTTTAATCTTTGTTTGACCGCAACAGAAGATGCCCGTTGGCCGCAGTTAACCAACCAGGTGAAGGGTGGAGATGAGCTTTGGTTAGGCCACCTTTTCTAGGCCCCTCTCCGTGTGGAGCAAGCAGTGCTGTCCTTGCCATCTTGCCCACCCCCTTAAGATGAAAAGTCTCGTGATAAAACACTGGGTTGCAGGAATCTGGACTCTGGGGGGAAAATGAGCTTCTTGAGAAATTTAGGTTTTCAAGAGATAGTACCAAGAAAGGAAGCACGCTGGATATGTAGAAAGGTCCCATTTAAGGGGCAAGAGAACCCTTTTTGTGAACTGAAACACAGGAGGGCAAGCCAGACAGATTAAGCAGGGGAGAAAAGTAGCTCTGAGATGGATCAGTTGAAATAAACTTAACCTGTGCTTTAAAATTTGTCAGAAGCATCTGTTGTAAGCTGAGGGAAGCCTGGATCTTAATCGGTTCTGCTGAGCATTTGGTTACCTCTGTTGGACCTGGGGGGGCAACTTTTTAGGTTGGAAGCCAAATGCTGGAGAAGGTTGAACAGCCCTTTTCCTGTTCTAACAAGCGAATACATTATGTTATTCCACTGCTATGAGCCTGCTGCTTTTCCCTGTGACCAGGAAGGGGCCATATGGAAGCAGCTGCAAACCGGGCATTCCCCAATTAGCTCTCTTAGCACAGAACTGCTTTGGTATAATTCATCTGCTTTTTCTTCTGTGGTGGAATCATTTACTAGTGATGGGTTACTTGGAACTTGATGCTTTTATTTTGGTCACGAGGTGGTGAAGTATCTTGAATTTTGGTGGGGGGTGTTTTTGTACCTGTGAGCTGTTCACTTTCAAAATGTTTACCCTTCTGCAATTCTGAGGAAACTGTACTCATGTCTTCAAACGGAGAAGCAGAGATTGAGTCGTGCTTGACCATGTGTGAGCTGTGACTGATACAGTATGCTTGCCTTAAATTAAAAAACTACTCAATTGTTAAAAGATTTTTTTTTTTTATTATTTCAAATTTGAAAAATAAATTAAGCTTATGAAATAAGCTCTTGTTTCTCCATTTCAGCCTATGGTCAGACCTTGCCTTTGCTAGCACTGGTGATGACTCCAGGGCCTTTAGTATTTGGAAACTGTAAGATTACCTGACCTGCTTCAAATAGCAGTGGTTCTTGAGTCTAGCAGGGCTGGTCCTAGATACTGCTGTGAATGTGGGCTCCAAAATTTTCCAAGACTTTAATTAATGTATTGGGGGGGAAAAATATCCATATACAGAAAATTGCAAGCTGTGTCTCCTAGTTTTATGTGAACATGTGTTTATCCAGCTGCAGTTAAAGAGCCTTTGCAGAGTCGACAGAAAGATAAGTTGGGCATAAATGCCCCGCTGACCTAGTGTTTTTATTGCACCTGTGAGCCTTACAGGCATTTCAGACTCTGTTGCAGGTTGCACGCAGCTGTTTCTCATGTTTGCACTTAAGAGGGAGGAATAGGGCCATCCAGAAGCCAGGTTCCAAGGCCCTGTCACATATAAGACCAGTGAGTGGCTATTAAATGTGGCCTCAAAAGCTCCTGCTTCAGAAGGGACCTTTCCAAAAGTCCATGCGAGTGTTTGACTTTTCCAAGATGACACATAAGTATGAGCTAATTCACTTAGTGCTTTTATTATCCAAATCTGACTTTGTCAACTATAACAGTATACAATATATAAACTTGAGCTTGAACCAAGCTAAACCTATTACCATACACAACTGCAGCCTCTCCAGACAGATGAGGGGAGGAACTTCATAAAAAAATATGTCAATATCCCCATTCCAGTCTGAGCTGTAATATGCTTCTTTCCACTAGATTTTTTTCCATTTTGCAAGTTGAAAAAAGTACAAAAATATTACATATGGCACTTTGGGTGGTATGGCAACACCATTTATAAGAGCCATATTACCTTCCCCCACTGACAGAGACATTAGAAATTACAGTTGGTTTTCTTGAATTTACCTTCTAAAAGCAACTAGTTACAACTTTCCTACAACAGAGATTAATTCATGTAGATAATTGCTAAAGTGGTTTTCACAGAAAAAGCATAAAATAGTAGGCTGCTTTTTTTTTTTTTTTTTGCTTCCTTCCTTATGGTATTTTGCATGTTCTAATGGACCCTTCCCAGAGTCTCAAGGCTGGATAAACTGGTTCTGTGAACTTGCAGTGGAAGGTGTGCAAATGAGCCATTCCATCACTGACATTGTAGAATGAAAGGATTCCTGCTTCGTAATCCAGAAAAATGCCAATACGATCAGGGTCATCCTCTATGAAGATGGGGATTCTCTCCCCCTTGTGAAATGCCCAGTATTCAAATTCAAACTTCTTAAGGCACCAAGATGCTCTGTTCCAGCCCAGCCGGCAGGTTTCAGAGTCTCCCTTCCTGCCAATGGAAGGGTAGGCTGCACCAATCCACCATCCTACTCCAGCATGAAGCAGGTCAACTTCCCAGTAATGGCTCCCAGACAGAAATGCGTCTCTGCTTAGCGCTTGCCATAATTTATCGAACCTCTGGGGGCCACAGGGGTAGAATATCCTCCTCCAGCTGCAGCTTACTTCCAGACGGTCATCAGACAATTTCAGCCTTGGGTGAATGCTGTCGTATTCCCAGGTTGGTGATCTTGCATCTGCAGCCAAAGCCATAAACAACTACATTTATCATGACCCTTGGAAGAAGTCCAACAGTGAGAAAGCCTACAGGTCCAAGGACACTGGGTCTGGAAAGGGCATTCCAGTCTAAATAAGGCAGGGTGCCAACTTTGCGGACTCCACACTTGTCAAATCTGGGTCACCCCTTGTGATGGGGACATCAGCTGTAGCACCAAGATTCTGTTAATGATGGGGTTTAGCAACTTAAAGAGCCTACAAGCTCCAAGGACACAGGCTGGAAAATTCACACCAAGCACATTGTGACGGTGCACCAACATTGGTGCCTCCACACCTTGCTAATCTGGGCCACCAAGGTGATGGGGGCCTCAGCCACAGCATCAACCTGCCATTAAGGTTAAAGTTAGGCTTCAGAGAGCCATGGAACCTACAGCTCCAGGGACAATGGGGCTGGAAAAGGCATGCCAAGGGAATCATGGCAGGGCACCAACACTGGTGCCTCCATAGCTTTCTGGTCTGGATCACTCTCGGTGATGGGATGAAGGGAAGGCATAGTCAGAGTGACTACAGTCACTCAGCTTGCTCAGCTTGGAGAGGAGACTGAGGGGAGACCTCGCTGCAGTCTATGGCTTCCTCCTGAGGGGGAGCAGAGAGGTGAGCACTGATCTCCTTTCTGGAGACCAGTGACAGGACCTGACGGAGTGGTATGAAGCTGTGCCAGGTAAGGTTTAGGAAAAAGTTCTTCACCCAGAGGATGGCTGGGCACTGGGACAGGTTCCTCAGGAAGTGGTCACAGCACCAAGGCTGACAATGTTCAAGAAGCATTTGGACAACGCTCTCAGGCACGTGATGTGATTCCTGGGGCTGTCTGTGCAACGCCATGACCTCAGTGCTCTTTGTGGGTCCCTTCCAACTCGGGATTCTAGGATTTTTTGATCATACTTACGTTTTAAGAAAAGCAAACGATCAACAGGAGTCATGGTTTTCAACACTGTTCCAGGTTCCTTCTTTGCAGTGGCATCAAGGCTGCTGAAAACATCTGGACAGGGATGAAAAGGGACAGTTCAGGGAGTCTGCCAGTTTTTCAACTTCCATTTTCCAGCTTCATGGACAAACTCTGCTACCTTTTCTGGGGAAGGGCTACTCACTCTGTAGGCTTTCAATCTTATGCTCTTTGGATAGCATGGAGATGCTGGACTCCCGTGTTGCCTAAGAACTACACAACTGAGCACAGAACCAAGTAATCACATCTGATTCCTTAAAAAGTAGCCCCTATCACACAAGAGCTGTCAGGCCTCTGAAGACAGCTGCAGATGCTACAGAGCACCTCCATGATGCTGCCTAGCAATCCTACACACAACCTGCAGGGGCCTTTCAGATCTAGTCTGACCATTTGCCCCAGCACCCTGCTGTTTTGTTCTTGGCAATTCTCAGAAAAGGGATTATTAAAAGGGAGCCGGGTGAAATGTGATGGCCGGTGTTGCCTGCTCACTCAAAGGGCAGCAGGGTTTTCCCATGGTTATGTGGTTTTGTGGCTCTTGTGCCCCATTAGGAAACTCCTGCCTTAATCATGCTAAAGGTCACTGAAGGATGAAATACCAGCTCAAAGACAAAAGTAATTCTAAATCGAACATGTTAGCTCACCTTTGGAGTATCAAAAAGCACAGAATTTTTTCAGACTGAGGCAGAAAGATCACTGGGTACATCAATTAAAAAAAAATAAAGCTTTCAAATTTTACAGGTACCCAGTGTTCAATGCCAGAGCACTTAGACCCAACAGTAACTGAAAGAAAGGAACAGATATACTGTGCAGGTATCATAGCCTGCAAAGAAGGAAACTGTATTGAAATAACTGGATAGGACTGAAGATAAAAAGCATCAGACAAACAAAAGACTGACTGAAACACTGCACTTTTCTCCAGCTGATTTGGTAAAAGTCCTGTTCTTACTTACAAACCACACTTTATTTACAAAGAGAGCAGAAGAAAGCAAAATTCAGAGCAGTCCCCCAGGTACCTTCTTTAAGCCGGGCTTCTAATGGTTTCTGCAGAATGGACTCAAGAAGTCTGAAGAAGTGCTTATAATGTTAAAGTATGTGTTCAAACGAGAGAGGTACCGGATGCCACTGTTCTCTCAGCTGCCTCGATTCCTTCATTTCCTTCTCGATTTCTGTGTACTTCTGAGGGCAGAAAGCCAAATTCTCCAATTAGCAGAGACAGTGACATGAAAGGACTCTTCCCTCCCAGCTCCCCCCACAGCACAGAGCAAGGACAGCTCCATCACTGGGTAAACCTATGGGCCATAACAGGCAAGCTTGGTTGTGTTCAGACTGCCTATTCGCTCATTAGCCTCCTCATTACTTCTCCAGCCATTGGAGCCAGGGGCCGCCCCAGAGATGGAGAACCCAGCAGTCATGGTTTAAAACAGGGCCCTCCGGGATGGAATTGAGTTTAGCCTGGCTGGGACCCTCTGCGGGAAATCCCAACAATGGGAAAGTCAAACCACTAAGTTTTAAAAGCAACCTAAAGATTAAAATCCAACCTTCCCCACAAAAAAAAAAAAAAAAAAAACTCCCTAAAATCATGAAGAGCAGCTTTCCATGTGGAGGTGCGTTGCTAGTGCACACAGCAGAATGCCAGGGCCATATCACTCACAACAATGAAAACTCTTGAGAGTCTGCCAAATTGCAAGGATACAAAAATACACCAGAGGCCTTCCCAAGATGAATGGCATCCTTTGCTTTGTGTCAGGGCACAAGCACATGGCAACACACCTCTCCCAAGGAAGGTGAAGGGGATCATAAGATCATTAGGGGAGAGAAGCTGACATTTATTTGTAGGCAAAAGGAAAAGTGTTGCCCCCCTCCAGTAAACTGATGGCTATTGCTCACGGTGATTAGGATCTCTTGCAGCTAAAGAGATGAGATATTTTAGCCTTCCTCCTGAGGTTCCCAACAGGGCTGCCTTTCCTCAGATCTTCGTATGACACTGCACAAGGAAAGACCTGATAGAACATTTCTCTTCCAGATTAAGAGATACATCTCTCTCATCCATATATGCTTAAAATTAACATTGAATTTCATACAGATCTGAAATCAATGCCATAGCAGGAACACCTAACTAAAATCAGGTAACAAATTGGTTCACCAAAACACCAACACAAAGAAAATTAAAAAGCAGTTAGAAAGATGCTGCTTACATACAAAAGGATCTACAGAAGAGATCACTAGAGCAGTTTATCAGAGACTGTGAAGGTAAGAAGCAGAATGAGACCATACGATACGACCTCTAGCAACTGAATAGGATCACTGTCCTGTTGTATTTGTCTGATCCGACATGAGAAGGTCTCTAGGGCTGCAAGCTGTTCTTGACAGGACTCCAGCTGCTGAGCATGTGCTCCCAGGGCTTGCTGGGCCTTTTCATCAATGAAGCTTTTTGCCAGACTCTCTTCTTCCTGAAGAAGTAGCTGGAGCTCGGTCACTTTTTCTGATAGCTGCCTTTTGATCATGCTGGCATGTGCCTATAGATGAAGCAGAAGAGGTCTCACACCCTCAATGGACCATAAACATTTCAGACATTTCTCTCTCAGGCTTTCAGTGTTGCATTTTGGTTCAATTTTACGGATTTTTCTGCATCTCTTCATTAACAAGTGTCCACCCCTTAAGGGAGGGCAGACAGGATTGACTTGCTGATGTCTGGATGGAAAAGCTTGAGGGAAGATTCCAAGATGCCTATTTATGCAGAGAGTGCTGTTTTCAGCTGGAATTTACAGGGTCAGGTACTAAGTGCAACAAGAGGCAGACCTGGTCCGTCAGTGCCAAGACTCTGACCTCTTTCAAAGCAAGCTGGAGACAAGGAGCTGCTAGGAAGAGAAAGCCTCCAAAACAAAGTGACACCAAACCTCTAGAACTCCCTCCAACTCCTACTGATACTTCTGTGACAGAGCTGCTTAGAGATGCTTCTTAGGGCAAAAGCCATTTCATGCTCTGTAAATGAGGTGCAACTTAGCATACATTCCTGTTCTTAAGATGGAATCAATAGAGCTGTTCTTGTGCTTACTCAAACTCTCAATAATGCAGCTCAGTGCAATGTAACATACATCAGCGAAGCCAGAATAACATATGCAGCTGGGGCTACCTGCTATTCCTCTGCACAAAAATTTCAGTACTGTTCTTCCAGAGATGTTCAGCTGATCAGGGGATGAGGACCAGGTCTTTCAAAACTCTCCCTCTTCTCTCCCTTTAAGAGTGTAATATGTTGTGATGGATACAGGGAATACACTCTTTTCCTGAGAAGCAGTAGGTGTCTGGGTCTTTGAATAGCTACAGAGAAAACAAAATGTCTCTCCTTGGAAAATGACCGTCCAGTGGGGAAGGAAACCATACTTTACCTTCACATCATTCACAGCCAGCTCTACACTCCTTCTGTTACCAGCTTCTTGCTCTTTTCTCTCTTCTAAATCCCTCAAGCACGATGCCATGAGTTCCTATACAGCAATGAAACAAGATAAAACACTGCTTCACAACAACATCTGTAAAAAACAGAAATCAGTACCCGCTTGTTTTCCATATAGGGGAGTATATGGAAATATACCACCAAAATACCAAGTTTATGAGGCTTATTAGGGCCAGTACAGTGATGAACTAAAAGGGTTTCAACGTTTCAACTGGTGGTCATACGGGTAAGATTTGGAGAGTTCTCCAAATTAATACCACCTTCCTAAGGAACAGGGAAACCTATGGTGATAAATACATTTTCACCTTTAAATCTACGGTGCTGTGCATTTCAAGAGTATGTGCTAATGCATTTAGCAGCTGATGGGCAGCTAACCAAGAACTTTTATTCAGTGGATCAGTGGAAAGCTCCTTCTAGAGTCAAAATCCAGTGAAAGTTCAGGATGCTTCCCAGAAAGACCAGTCAGACATAACCCCCTATCACTACAGTGATGCTGCAGTCTGAATGCCTTCAACAGCAAATATCATCATTTGGCTGGTGATCACACTACCTGTGATATTTGTGGTGTGGCTAGCACAGCATTGTTCATGTTCTGCTACATCCAGCCCCACAGTTTCTCACTCACAGCCCTCTGAAACTGGCTGTGGAACAGTCTTGGTGCACCCTCTGATGCGTTTCTGTCATTAGTACCATAAAAGATCCAGGCAGTGCTGCCCCACGCTCTCAGTGCACCAGGGTTAAAACAGAGCCTCTCAGTAAATATCAGATAATGTAGCTCCAGCTGTACCTGTCATCAGTGTCCTGTTCTGCAGCTGGGACCCGCTCAAGAGCATCTGCCTGCACATGTACCAGCTCACTGCAACATCTCCAGGGCAGCACAGCATTTAAAGGGCTGACAAACTGAGCATGAAGTGTTGCTTCGTGGTCAAGAGTTTGCACTTCTGACATGTGCAAATACATGTAGTTTGTCATTTGATTAAGATAAAGTCGGAAGAAAATGGGGTCCCAGCAAAAGTCAGAGACTCTGCATCTGGAAGGCCCTTGGCACAGATGCATTCATGCAAGCAGATAAATGTTCTTGCATAGAGCAAGACACTTTAGTTATGCTATCCATTCCAGTCACAGTTTTCCAGTCTTGTCTCTGAAGAACCAGAAGAATTCTGCATCACTTGAAGATTCAGGAGTTCTTCTAGATATCAGCCTGCTTTAGTTTATTTTGCAGCCTAGACCTCATTCCCTTCCTCAAAGACTGACAAAGACCACAGAGCAAAACCCAATCTTCCTTCTCTGCAATTAAAACACAGGGCACTCACTCCCTCACAAAAGTGACCATATGCAAATACTTATGGCAATCCCAAGCATTTCTGGTTAAGTATTACTTTCTTTACAGAGGTAAAGAGCTTTTTTAGAAACTGACACACTGCCAGGCAACCCATGTCATTCACTCTGAGGACTTCAACTCCAAAAACATTCCTTTAGGGATTGCCTGGATGCCTTAAGTCATCCAAGTGAAAACACTATAAAAGCAAGGATTTCTGAGAGATGAGACCCCTAGCTGCAGTCAGGCTCATAGGACACATATCAAGTGCAAAGACTGCTGATCCTATGTCCTGCATTCAGGAGCAGCGGGAGAGTCCTTCCAGGTGATTTTATACAGAACTAGATCCAGGGATGAATCAGCTGATGGACCTCACACAGTGGTTCTCATCTCTTCTTAGCACTCACAGCTAGGACTTGCTAAAAGCGCTGTGGAACATCCTCTGTGGAAGAAGGGCTGCCTGGCTGGTGTCGTATCACAAGGGCTGTACAGAGTAACTGCTCCCAGCAAACAAAATCCCTGGCCAAACTACCAACTCTTAGGCTACCACTACTGATAGTTTGTGCCTGAAATCTCTGCAGCCCTAAGCCAGTAGATGTCAGCACATACTTCCTATGGGGCAGAGTGTTCCCACGGGAACACGAGTTTCCACACTGCTCAGTTCCTAACTTGACACAGAGACAACTCTTTATCAACAGCACGTGCTCCCCCTGTGTCCATCAGACCCTCAGGGAAACAGCACAACTTGCAGCTTTGTACGCTTTACCCTGGCTTAAGTCAGGTTGCCACAACACCTTCATCTATTCGTTGCCTCAGCGTCATGAAGGGGATGCAAACACTGTTGTGAGTTCCCAGCTTCAAAAGGGATACTCTGGATGAACGGCAGGCAGGAAGAGCGCTCTGCACTGCTCAGATGTCTTCAATGGTTTTACCCCTGCGCTGCTGTTTGCTTGCAGCCTAGTGCACTGCCCTCTACCCTTGTAATGTTCTCTAACATTAAGAGCAATAAAATGCCAGAGGAGTTTAGCATGACCTGTGTATCTGCTCCAATCTGCGTGAACTTCCAAGCAGGAAGTTCTGTAGGAGCTGTTTTTTCCTACTGTTTTCTGTAGGACAGCTCTGAGTAACACTGCTCCAAAATACCACAGAAGGAATGGGAAGGAGCTCTCTGAATGCGAAGGAGCTCTCTGAATGCGAAAAAGAGAAAACGAACAGACAGACAAAAGGGGGCAAAAAAAAAAGCTCCTCTACATCAAACCTCTGTGTTACAAGTTTTTAAGCTTCCCCAAGCTTAGCATCACAGCGTGCAGGACTCAGCAAGCCTCCTGGCAGGCTCTCCAGAGTAAAACGAAGCAGAAGCAGGAAGTATTGGGCAAGCTCACAAAGCTTCTTTGGGATATTCGATGGACTGCTACAGTGGGGTGAAGAAAAAAATCTTAGGGAAGAAGCTGCAGTCTGGTTGTGACTGGGATGGAGTTAATTTTCCTCACAGGAGCTCGTATGGCACGGCACTGTGTTTCAGATGTGACTACACTGTGAGTGCACAAAAGGCTGTGAGGGAATGCAAGCAGGCAGACGACCCGTACTAATCAAAGAGATGTTCCATGTCATATAATGGCATGCTCAGAAATAAAACTGGAAGGAGGGGTGGAAAGGCATAAACAGAAATGGCCTTTCCCCTTCCCCCGTGGCATCTGTGTTTCTGCCGAAGGTGCATCCAGCCTAGCAATAAAAACAAGTTCCCCAGGGCAACCAAGCTGCACCAATTCCACACACAAGGTCTGCAAAGAAAAGGCTCAGAAATGAAGCCGAAGTCGGAGGATAAAATGGTGCTGCACATGACCTAACACAAAATCTCACTTCCTCGTCCCTTCGTTTACACACCTGTGTGGGTGCTCGCGTGTGGCTGGTTAACTCTTTCCCTCCCGTGCATGTCCCTGTGCAGTGGCAGCAGGCTGACTCCCTGTCTATGCGGGATTTACAACGCACTTACTTCGCCGAAGCACAGAAAAGTACAGAAACTTTGTTCTGCTAGCCAGCACAGCCTACGAAACTGATGTGACAACAAACCCTGAACCCCGCAAGCTGCTCATTAGGCAAGCAAAGAAGGCTGAAGATACTTGGCCTGCTGCTGTTCAGCTGCTCTGATGCGGTGATGTTGCCACTACCCCAACCACGGCAAAAGAAATCCCAACCGCGCGAGTACCAGAAACGAGAATGAAAAAGGGGCACGACATACACCCAAACCGGGAAGGTCCCCGCTCATACCCCGGTCCGACCCCCCCCGCCCCCTCCCCCGCAGCCGCTGCTGGCACCAATCCTCCCCGCATGCAGCAAACCTTCCCTCCGCCCCGCACCCACCTGCGTGCGGCGCACGGCGTGGGGCAGGAGGCAGGCGCGGTGCCCGCGGTGCGCGCCCAGGGCCGGGCACAGGGCGCACACGCAGCGCCCGCAGTCCTCGCAGAACAGCTCCAGCGGCCGCCCCGCGTGGGCACCGCACGCCCGCGGCCCGCCCTGCGCCATCGCGGTCGGGGGGCAAGAGGGGGAGCGGCGGGAGCGGGGCCCGGGGCCGCGGCGGGGCCGGAGGAGGGTGCGGAGCGGCCGCCGCGGTCCCGCCGCGCTTCTCGACCTCCCCGCGGGGCCGCCCCGCGTCACTCCCCGCGGCGGGGCCGGGCCGGGCCGGGGAGCAGTCGGGGCCGGAGGGAGCTGCCCCTGGGAGCGGCAGGGGCGGTGCGGCGGGGCCTGCCCCCGCCCGCTGCCCGCGATGGAAACCCGACCGCTCTGCGGCATTTCGGGGCGCGACGGGTGTGACAGCCTCCCAAAACACTTACCTGAAGTTCCACTTTCCACAAAAATGGAAAACAAGTAGTCATCAGAGCATGGTGTGTGGTGTTTGGTTTTTTTTGTTTGGGTTTTTTTTTTTTTTTTTCCTCCCGCTTTCTATTTTTTTCAATTAGAATTGTGTGCTCCGTGAAGTCTCATTTATAGAAATCGAACTGAAGTGCTCGCGCTGTCACGAAGTTTGCATACTTACTTTCGTTGGCCGGAACTCTTAGGCACGTTCAACCAAATGCATACGGGTTTTTTTAATCTGCTTTCCTCTTCCTGGGAATAAAAGCAGTAGAGGATACTGACACGCACGCAGAAACATTAGGTGTGGAAAAAAATGGGAAGAGATTTTTAAAAATAAGAGTTTTGGCGAAATATTTGATGCATTAATATATATGTATTAATACATGAGAATGTGGAGCATTGAGAAGCAAGGCAATCCTCCTGAAAGCAGAGAGAATCTCTTGCTCGTGAAAGAGCTACTGATACAATCAAGGATTCAGAATGTGCTTTTTGCTATGGAAGTCAGGGATTTTCTAGAAAAGTGCTGCATAAGCACTCTGTGCTAGAGTTACAGAATATTAAGAATCAGTGGGGATATCTGGAGATCGTTCAGTCTCATCGCATACAGAGAAAAAAGAAAAATGAGTAAAGATGAGAATTTCACAACCTATCTGGGACCCTGTCGTGGTGTTTGACCATCCTCACAGAGAAAACCTTTCATGATGTCAGTTTTTCTCATTATGATGTGTAGTTTCACTGTGCCTTTCCAAGGAGACTTTCAGCCTCATGTTCCCAATCTACTCCCATAAGGGAGCCGTAGACAGCACTGAGTTCTCTGATGGTGGCTGAACAAGTCCAGCTCCTTCCATGTCTTTTTGGAAATGTTAAGCTTCAGCTCCATTACTGTTTTGGTGGCTTCTGCAGGACGGTTTGCTTAATGAAGTCAGTGTGAGTCTTTTCGGGGGGATTGTGTGTGTTACATAAATTTTCCTGTCTGACCATTCAGGGGCACTCTGGCAGTCACACTCCCACCACCAGAGACTGTCGCTGCTGGGACCAAAGTCCCCTCACACTGGCTGACTCCCTACATACTCACACAGTCAGACGAGGTTTCCTTACAGGATCGATCCCAGGTTTCCCGTTGCAGAGCCTCATACCTCTGGATCCCTAAAGCGACTTATTCCTGGTGCAGTAACACAGTAACAGCTTGAGCAGCTGTCTCCGAGGAGGGACTCGGAGCAAATATCTGGGTGTTTATACCCTCACAGTCTGAGCACGCAGTAGTCTGGGATCTTCCTGCTGAGTCCTTGGCTCCTGCTGTGTCTGAGTGTTTGGTCACTCAGCTGGCACCACAGGTCCCTGTGCCCTTTGTTGTGCGAAGGGTCAGTGCCAGTTCCTGCCCTTCTTGCCTGGGGGTCCCACCCAGAGCTCAACCTGCAGCTCCCACTGCAGCTGCACACCGAGCTACCTTTACTGAACACGTTAAAAGTCCTCCCTTTGTTCTAATTGACCATACTTGCTAATATATTAGAAGGGGAAAAGAAAGCTTTCACAGTGTTTTCCCGCTGCCCTTTCATACAGCATTATTAAAAGTAACAGAATTAAGGCTAATAAGATATTGTCAAGGGGCAGAAATTACATCAAGACAACATAACGAAAGATCTACAAAAGTCTGTTATTGACAAACTGGTTAATCATTCACTACATGCTTGATATGAGGTTGGTGTATCCAGTTTTCCTAACTCAAAATTTTAAGAGCAAGATAGGAGCACAGTAAGAAAGTATTTGCTCCCTCCTATTTAGGTTCATATTTTGATTTTTGTGAGAATATCTTGATTAACGCTTCATGCCCAGGTTGTATATCATGTACTTGTGTATCAGACCGGGCCAGGTTAGTGCACAAAATAGGAACAGAGTGTGAACTCCTTCATATGGTATCTTATGCATTCTCCAGAGACATGTTCTGTGTGTATACCAACTGCCTCACAAAGAAATCCTAGGAGATGATGGGCTGTTCATCTTGAAGACCTGCTGTGGATATGGATTCAGCCTGGTGCAGACATGACACCCCACACACACAGCCATGCTCCAATGGATTATGTCACTGCACTGGGCGCCCCACGGCACCCATCTCTGCCACTCTGGATTCAGGGATCTGAACCCAGCTCCTGACTCTGATTGGTGGAAATCAGGGAGTTGGGAATGGCACCTGCCTGTCTCTTATAACCCACTGACCCACATTCAGCTGCTGCTGATGGTGCACTGGGCAGGAATTACATCATGTCCGCACCTGCTGTGGGCCTTTGCCGCCCTTTGTTCCCATGACACAGCCCCTGGTTTGCAGCAGTTCTAAGTCAGCTGCTGGGTGCTGGCTGAGGCTGGGTACCAGCCCAGTCCTGGGGAACTGCACCAAGGGCAGCCATGGCTGCTCCTGTCACAGGAGCCCTCCGGACTCCAGTGCTGGATGCTGGACAAAAGGGCTGGGGGCAGAGTGGGGAGGGGTGATGGTGAGCAGCAACAGTGCCTGACGCAGGCTGGGGTGACCCTTGGGAATGGCCCAGTGCGGTCAGAATCACAGCCTGGCCCAGCTTCACGTCCCAGCCCTTAGAGCCAGTCCTTATCCTCAGGCCATGGGTTTAGCCCGTCAGCTATTCCAAGGTGAAAGTATTTACAGTGCAGTTTCTCCCAGTGTTGCACAACCTCAGCCAAGGGCATGCCCTTTTCCGTGCTGGGTTCATTTTCCATCATTTCAAATGCTAAGAGGGGCTCCAAATTCCCTGTATCGTACAAGAGACCTGAGCTTTCATCACCACCTTGCATCTTACAGGGGACTCTGCACCTCCTCTATGTGCTCCTTACACTGGTCAGGCTGCACACCTGTACTCAACCTCCTACCAGTAATTTCACCATATCTGTACAAAATGCTGCACTAACAGGGAGACACAAATCCACCCTTACGATTTACACAGAATCTGCTCAGGGAATTTTAACATTCACCCATTTGGCTCTTTTCTGCGCCAGTGATCCCGGGTGAACTCACACAGGGTCAGCAGTTTGGAGAAAGGAGACTTCAAAGGTATAGTGGCCGAGGGTTATCAAACAATCTAGGTTATCAAACTGTTGGGGAAACTTCCCTGTCTGACCATTCAGGAGCACTCTGCAGTCACACACCCACCACAAGACACTGTCACTGCTGGGACTGAAGCCCCTTCACATTGGGTGGCTCCAGTGAGCCCATGACTGCCCCGAACTGACCTCAGGTTTCCCATAGCACCATCTCAGACCTCTGGGTGCTTTAAGTAATTTAATCATCGTTCAGCAACAGAGTAACAGCTACAGACACCTTAAACTGGCGTGTCCGAGGAGGGTTCCGGAATAAAAGATTACCAGGCTTTTATACCCTCACAGTCTATGTGCACAAAAGTCTGGGTGTCTTCGTAATGAGTTATCAGCTCCTGCTGTCTCTCTCAGTGTCCTTGACTGGGTCACAGGTCCCTGTGCCTTTTGCTGTGCAAAGGGTCAGCATCTGTTCCTGGCCTCTTGCCTCGGGCTCCCACCCAGAGCTCCACCTTCAGCTCCCACTGCAGTGGCACACCAAGTTACCTGCACTAAATATATTCCTCAATATGTGCCTGGTCTTCGTCACCGCAAAGCCACACAACACTGATGGAAGATACCAGGGCTCTGGTTCCTTTTACAGCAAAGTTATTCCCCAGCCTGCTGGTGCCAAGCCTTAATCGTTGCAGAGTTACTTTATGGATTGGATAAGCCTCCTCTCTGGATCTCTGTGAAGTTCATGCTGGTGCATTTCTGCAGCACATCACAGTCTCTCAAAAGAATCACCCTGCCTGCCACTCGATCTTTCCTCATCCCCTGCTGTGCCCCCTCCTTCTTTGTAATCACACCAAATTTGCTGAGGGCGTATTCCGTGCAATTGCACTGCTTGTTGATAGGAACAATAGAGCACATTGGGCTCAGCATCAGCCCCTCAGGAATGGCACTCATAACCAGCTGCCACTTGGACTTTGCACATCAGATGACAGCACTAAGTGCCCAGCAGTTCAGGTGTTCTAGTCTATCTGTGCAAACAACATCATCAGTTTGTCTGTAAGGACATTATCAGGGCCCATGACTTGCAGGGTTAAAATTTGCAGGTACCCAGGACATTTCCCATTACAAATGAACTTACTGAGCTGGATTATCTGTGCTTTTTAGTTTTAAATCATTTGCTATGGAGGTCAGAGTTGCAATAAAGCTAAATAATGCTTGTGTAAACACTACTGGGTGATCAGGAGCTGCTATAATGCACTTTTGCCCCAGTTCTTTATTGTCTTACACTGGGGGAAAATGCTGCTGCACTGTGTCTGTGAGAGGTCTGAAGAGCAGATGCTCTTTGCATCCCGCATTTATCTTTCCAGAGGGAACAACATTAATCTCTCAAAACAGGGTTTAAATGACTCAGAGCATACCTCAGGCTGGTTTTACCCAGAAAAATCATCCTCCATCACAGGCAGTGGAGAGAAGGAAGAGTTAAACCAAGAAGAAAAGAGGAAGCCATAATGTTTTCCTGATTCAGCACCATCTCCTTGTGAAAACCAGCTGGGGAAGAAGGGTAGGTTGAGCCAGTGGGATCAGACTGCCTTTGAGTATTCATCTGTTAGTTTTGAGGTGAAATGACACTTTCCTTCTCC